TGTTGGTATATATTCATAGACACAAAAATGCAGAGGGAGAGGTAGAAGAGGAGGAGGAAGAGAGAGAGAAGAGGGAGAGGAAAAAAAGAGAATAAAAGAAATGAACTAAAATATTGAAAACTAGTATATCTGGGTAGAGAACCCATAGGAGTTCTCTGCACTATTCTTGCAACTATTGTGTAAATCTAAATTTACAACTGTTTAGAAAGTGTAATAAAGTTGATATTTAAATAACAGATATAACCCTGGCTATATAAAACAGAAGCATATAGTTATTCTATGATGGGAAGGGAAGAAAAACCCACAAAGGGACATTACAGATTTATCATTCGCCAACTGTTTCAGGATCACACGTTTGTTGCTATAAATACAAAGTCTCTATTAATGATAGGTTACAGAACTATGTAAAAACTTGCAACAACCTAAGGGGTAAAACATCAGGTGAGATTTCTGAGCCAAAAGTAATTTGGGCAGAAAGCACACAAGTAAGCCAATAAAGCATTCCAACATTAAATCTTGGCTTCCTTTGACGTCAGCCCCAGCAGACCAAGGCAAGTGACGACACAGGAGTCAGCACAGGAGGAAATGTGTGCCAGGTGGTGCCCAGCATCTTGGAAGCACAAATTTAGCAGGTAACATAAAACTCCATAACTCTATCTTAAATGCTGGTATATAAATCACAATATACCTCTTCTCTTGAGAGTCTGTATGCAGAGAAGTTCTTGAGAGCTTCTCAGAGTGTGAAAATAAGTTGCAACCAACAATGACTGTTGAGTATTATTAAGCCTCTGCAGGTTAAAATTAAAAACAAAACTAAACAAAAAAAACATAGATTGAAAGAGCCTTTTTTGCTTGCTTTTTGACAATACTTTTAATTTCAAACTCAACAGGAAACAAGATAATCACACATAGCTGAACGTCAAGATAATTTCAAACCCATAAATAAATGTCTGTTATTGATTAACAAAGACCTTAGTACTGATCAAACTGTATTTTCCTTCATAGTCTCTGCTTTCCTAATATATTCTGCATACATATATCTCAGAACTCTTAGAGAGACAGAATTTTGTAGAAATGTTTTCAAGCAATTTTCCCTCTCTGGCTATACAAATAAAAAAAGGAAAATGGAATGCTATGTAAAAATTATGTATCAATTGCAAAAAAATAAGATAATGATCCAAAATTATTTCTTTTACTTACTTTTTAAAGTCTTAAATCTGAGTTTTAAATATGGAAAGCATATACCTATTATCAGGACCAGTGACCCCACTGCAGGAATTCTCACTCAAAATCTAAAACTTTGGCGTGAGGTCAGTAAAATATTCCTAGTGCACCCTTTTACTCTAAAAGCCTCTGTAAGCCATTAAAGTTCTAATTTGAATAATTACATTCCACCTACATAAATTCCCTCTGTAGTTTCAACTGTATGCAGTATCAGTCTTCATTTCCTGAATTAAATTGGTGTCGTGTATTGTGGTGCTTCTTTAAAAAAACAAAAAAAAGAACATTTACTTTCACAGGTAACCTTTCAGCAACCAGTAGAAGTGATTCATGTGCATGAGGGGAATAGGTCAGTATGAATAATCATTAACTAACAATTTGTGCCAGGATTTATTGTGTCGAGCATTGCAAAAGGGACATCTCATCTAATGAAATGAATATAGCTATACAGCTGTATAGAAATCAAGTATTTTATAAACTAAATCCTGTTTTCCATTGAATTGTATCAATGCATCATTAGAAGCTTTATTTTCATTTATGGCTTGCCTTTAATTAGCTGATACTCCTCATGTTTGATCACTTCTACCTTTCTAGTCAAATAGTTAATGAACTCCAAATTAATACTGAAAATCCTAACCTAAAAAAAAGAACCACTGAGTAGCGTTTAAAAAATAAGTAAGTCTTTCTCATACAGGGAATCTTAAAAACATGCTTCCTCTTATGAAAAACCAACAGAATTTTTGAAAGACCGAAAAACAATTCTTACAACAAAATTTGTTACTCAAAGTGAATTTCCAGTGTTACCATAATAGTATTTATTCAATAAGCCCAAAGGACTAGTATTACATGTCCCTTTAATGAGATTTGATTTTTGAATCCTTGGATTTTTCTTAAATAACGTGTCTACAAGTTGCTGAGTGACCTTCAAGAGTGGCTTTTCTCAGAGTCAAGAAAAGCAGCTGTGTTCCTTGTAGGATACTCAGGGACTTCCAGAGATCTCCACACCATGACAGCTATTTCAGTCCTTGAGTCATCAGATAAATTTAAAGAGAAAAATTTATCCCAATTGTCAAAAATTCTGTTGAACCCCACAACCTAAGCATGTTTAATTCATCAAAGCTGTATAGTAGCAAAGATGTCTTCAAATATGTTGAATTAGTTAATCCTTAAATCTCATTATTGTAATTTCTGCTCAATTAAAAGTACGATTTACTGGTATTTAATGAAACTGTAAATTAAATTATCTGTTACACCTAGCATTGGTCTCAAATTCATAAAATATAGACCCAATTGTAAAAACATATTTTCCTTTCTTCCTAGAATTCCATTCTACTTGGATTCTGAAAATAGCATCCTCTTTCCTCTAGGAAATGTCACCTATACTCCATCCCCAATTCCCTCAGAACAATGTGATTCAAAGAGATGTTGTCATTTTCTTACAGATCACTTGGCCTAGCCACAGGCTTGGGGTGTGGACTTGTTCAAAGCTGGACCAATCACAGTTCCCCAACCTGGTGGCCAAAGTTGATCTGTATAATTGTATGAACCAGGGCATGTGACCCAAGCTTAATAAATCACAGTCCTTCCCCAAGATATTTCAAACTGAAACTCAGGCAGTAGGAGCAATCTCTCTCAAGCAGTGAAGAAACTGGGCATGCAAGCTGTCAGTGGCCATGTGCCCTGCTATGCAGGGAAAGCTGGTCTGAGAGAACTAAGCCAAGATGCAGAGAAGAACTTAGAAAGAAGACAGAGCACTCTGGAGGCAGTCAAGTCCTGGCTCTAGTTGTCCCTGACAATTGCCTCACTCCTGCCTTCCTTGTGTGTATAGAATAAGCTTTCCAATACACCAAAGTTAATTCAAACTATTTTCCTAATACCAGTAGCCAAGGAAACTCTACATAATATACCAAACAAATTCTAACATAATAAATTTCACTTCTTAGGAGTAGGGCCTAGGAATACCACAAGAAATTCAAATACGTCTGCAAACTCAAATATATCTAATGCAAACTTGGCTTTAGTCCATGAACCGACATTTAGGAATAACTGGATTTAACACTTTCTTCACTGCCTTCTTCACTGGGGATAAACCTTGTCCTTTCATAAGACAGTCAAGGTCTTGTGAGCAAGACCTGTACCTTACGTTTTATAATGAATTTCTCTGGCTCTCAGCACAAGCCATGAACATAGATGTTCAGTAGGAATATAATGAGCTAAAAATACGAAGATTGGGATTATTATTATGATTGCCACATGATCCTCTGGAATATCATCAGATCCAAAGTAAGGAGATTTAGTGTTCTGGAAAATTCATTCTTAAAAGACTGATAGTTGTACAGCAAGACAGCAGTAACAAAATCGGGGGAAAAAATCATTATTAACTGGATGGTTTGTTACCAAAAGATACATGCCTGTGGATGGATTTTAAAAGGAATGTGGGCGGCTGTGAAGAAGGCATTTTTAATCTGAAGTGAAGACTCTGACTCCAAAGCTTAGCAAAGAAAGTCTATGTTTCCCTAAAGATTGGGTCTAAGACAAGTCTGCTAGGAATTCCAGATTAAAGAGTGAACAAGTGTAAAATACATTATATATTAAACGTGTTAAAGTATATTTAAAGCCATATGCCTGTAAACCTCCCTTTTTATGTTTACAGTACCCCTACATTAAAATATTTTTGCATTCAAAGTAAGTGATCAGTTTGCTTTGGGCTAGTGACCCACTATCAAGAGAACCTGAAAGACAAGGGTTGAGATGAGAATCTCCTTCCCAAGAGAAGGCCCTGCTCAAATGATGGAAGTGGAATAAAACAGCAGCCCTGCTTTAAAAATTTAGCATCTCCCAAAGAAGCTAAAGGATTCTCTGACCTTCTTCATCTCACTGACTACCAGAACTCAGGAAGAATTTCAATACCATAATTATAATAAGTAAAGCAAACTAATTCTAACTCCTTAAAGCTAATACCTATGCCCTTAACTAGTTCTAACTAAAACAAAAAGAAAAAAAAAAAAACTAAGCTGGTTATTCTCTGTATAATTTTAATTTTTAAAAGCTTATGTATTCATTTTAGTTATTTGTTTTATACAACTATTTAGCACAATGCATGAACTTAATACATATTAATAATGGAAGAAATCAAATCCTATAGCAAAATGCAAATTCTACTTAACTGTATAAACTTACTAAAACAGCTAGGTTCTAGACATCAACTTTAGGACAACAGAATTTTCTCTAAGTTATTCCAGAAGACTATTTGCATAAAACTTTTGGAAATCTCCACTCCAAAGTTCTTCCACTGTAAACTGCACTTAATCTTTTCAATTAGCAACATGCTTAAAAACACAATTGAATATCTGGGATCAGTGGTCTAGACATTTCTACAAACTGAAATCATATACCTATATAACAACAGAGCAACTGATTGTGACTCAAACCCATCTTGCAACTACACTAATAATTTGGCATTAAAAGGATATCCAAATAGGGCCATATTTACAGAAAATAGTGTCGCTTAGTATAATTTATTAAGAATCTTTATTTAAAATTCTCAGAAAAGTTTAAATTACAGACCCAGAGAACTGATAGTTACTTTCATTAACCTCTCCTCTGCTTATGACTGTATTAGAAAACCTTAAAAAGAAATGCAGTAAAGTAAAATTTCATTTCAATGCATTTTTATAACCCTCTTCCCAGAATAGGAATAATAATCAGCATTCTCAATTCTAGTGCTTGAAAAACAATGAAGTATGTGCTTTACAGAATGAAGTTATATTCATTTTCACCTGCATTGATGCTCCTTCCACTCTTGCCACACAGGCGACCCGATCCAAGAAAGTCACTGCCACAGGCACTGCCACAAAGAAGCCTTTACAAAAGGCCTTGAGGTATCTTTTCACCCACGCTTGCGACTGTGCCATACCTAAAAACACAAAGAAAACAACTATGAAACCAGTCTCAAGAAAGGTGAAAAGCAAAGACATAAAAACAGTACATGAAAAGTGAGTTCGAGAAGGGCAATCTTGTCTCTTAATATATTTCACACTCATTCCTGTAACCATTAGAATAAATTTGACTTTAAAGTCCCAAAGTGAAATACATGAACTCAGACTAACTCTTTTCCACAAGTCCAGTCCACTTTATAACTTCAATGGGAAATTTCTCCCCACAAAACAATAAGTTAGAAAAAACTAAGCATTCCAAAAGTAAATCCTTTTCTGCTGCTATTAAGATGAAGATACGCCTTATACCCCTGATATTTGTTCTCTTCTACAGTAATAAAAGTTTCAGTGAAACATGTGGCCACCCAGCTGAAGACTATTTTCCAGCCTCCCTTGCCCCTAAATGTGGCCATGTCACTAGATTTGATCAATGGCATAAGCAGGAAGAATACTTCTAGGTTGCATCCTTAAAAGGAGGATGCCCTCCCTTTTCTTCCCCGTTTTATAACTGTAATAGTAACAATAGGAGTGGCCATCTCAAACTACAAGATAAAAGTTTCAAGTAAAGATGACAAAGCAACAAAATAGAAGGATCCTAGGTCTGTAACACCATGGCAGCACCATACTATCCTGCAGTGCTTACATTTGGACTGTTAAATCAGAGATAAATCACTTGCACTGCTTTTGTTGTTTTTGTTTTTAAACAGAGTCGCACTCTGTCACCCAAGCTGGAGTCCAGTGGCATGATTATAGCTCACAGCAGCCTAAAACTCCTGGGCTCAAGCCATCCATCCTCCATAGCCTCCCAAGTAGCTGGAACTACAGGTGCACACCACCATACCCAGCTAATATTTTTTATTTTTATTTTTATAGAGTCTGGGTCTTGTTATGTTGTCCAGACTAGTCTTAGACTCCAGGCCTTAAGCAATCCTCTGGCCTCAGCCTCTCAAACGGCTGGGATTACAAGTGTGAGCTCCCGTGCCCAGCCCTATCATGTTCAAACTGTGCAATATTGGCCTTCACTATAGTAGCCAAACTGATCCTAACTAATACAACAACGAAATCTATGATAGACCTGACATGCGTTTTGGATATTGTTGTGCATTTTTTGATGTTAGCCTCATGTCAGAAGTATAGTTTGCATATATTTTCTTCCATTCTGCAGGTTATCTCTTCATTACGATGATTGTTTCCTTTGCTGCCCAGAAACTTTTTGGTTTGATGTAATCCCCACTGTCTGTCTTTTGCTGTTGCCTGTGCTTTTGAACTCTTATCCAAAAAACTCTTACCAAGACTTCAGTGTTGTGAAGTATTACTTCTATGTTTTCTTCTAGTAATTTCATAGTTTTAGGTCTTACAGTTAAGTGTTTAATCTATTTTGAATTAATTTTTGTATATGGTGAGAGATAAGGGTCTAACTGTATTCTTCTGTGTATGGATATCCAGTGACTGCGATATTTTTAAATCTGTTTACATAAAACTCCAGGTTATATAAAAACCTGTAGGTTATAAAAAAAACAATGTAATGATTTGAAACTAGCATTTTTTTAAAAAAATGAAATACAATAGACTAGAATTATAGCCTGTTATACATTAAGGATAAGTATTGTTTTGTGAAGCTATAAACCCTTATTTGCTGCAATGTGTATATGTTTATGTGTGTGTGTGTGTGTGTGTGTGTGTGTGTGTGTAAGAGTGAGTCCTGTGTTGCCATATAAAATGTATTTCTTCGTGTGGTCATGGCAAAAAAAGTTTAAAAGCCATTGTGGTAGATAACTTTGGAGAATTCTTTTTTTCTGACAGGGCCAGGGGGGAAAAAAAGAATATTATCTGTTCACTTAGAAAATAAAAATAAAGGCCGGGCGTGGTGGCTCACGCCTGTAATCCCAGCACTTTGGGAGGCCGAGGCGGATGGATCACGAGGTCAAGAGATCAAGGCCATCCTGGTCAACATGGTGAAACCCCGTCTCTACTAAAACTACAAAAAATTAGCTGGGCATGGTGGCGCGTGCCTGTAATCCCAGCTACTCGGGAGGCTGAGGCAGGAGAATTGCCTGAACCCAGGAGGCGGAGGTTGCGGTGAGCCGAGATCGCGCCATTGCACTCCAGCCTGGGTAACAAGAGCGAAACTCCGTCTCAAAAAAAAAAAAAAACAAAAAAAAAAAAAAAAAAAAAAAAAAAAAAAAAAAAAAAAAAAAAAAAAAAAAGAAAAGAAAAGAAAAATAAAAATACTCAACTACTAATTCCTTCCACAAGAAAAAGATGAATAATAATCTAAATTGGCTAAATTTTTTTTTCAGCACTGCTAGCTGTTTATTTTGGACAAAAGAAAAAAAAAATTGAACTGTTTTATAGCTGGAAGCATGAGCAAGGAGGGTCCCCAGGCAGTAAACTCCCCATCCGTCCCCCACCACAGCCCTGCAGGTGGGCTGAGGGCTAGGGCTGAGCCTCAGGTGGGTTTCCTGTTCCCTGTGCTGTCTTGTGCAGGGGTCTCCCTCCTGGGCTCTGGAGCAGCTGCAGGAGGGCCAGGCTGGGAGGGGCTGCTGCAGTTCTTCACTTGGGCAGGATGTCAGAGGACTCGGAGACCAGCTTCTCATCACAGGTCTCGATCTTCTTCACAATCAAAGCCCTGGTGGAGCTGGTATGGCTGAAGGAGCTGGTGAAGCTGAAGGAGCTGGAGCCCAGGCCATAGGTGAAGCCGGAGCTTGTGAGGCCATAGGCCAAGCTCAGACCATCTGCATAGCCGCAGGTGGTCTTCACATGGATACTCATGTTCTGCATCCCCAACCCCAGCCAGCTCTCCTCGCCCTCCTGCAGCTGCCTGTAGGTGGCAATCTTGATGTCCATGGCCAGCTTGATGTTCATCAACTCCTGGTAGTCATGCAGTCGCCATGCCTTGTCCTGCTTGGCCTCCAGGTCGAACAGCTTGACATTGGCATCCTTAATGGCCAGCTCCCCACTCTGCCCAGCATTTGCAATGGTGGCCCCTAGGGAAGCCCTCTAGCCTTTGAGGCCCTCGATCTCAGCCTGGAGCCGGCTAATGTTCCAGTTCATCTAGGAGATCCCAGTCTTTGTAAGCCACAGGTCATCTCCGTGCTTCCCAGCCAGCATCTGCAGATCCTCATACTTGATCTGGTACATGCTCTCAGCCTCAGCCCAGCTGTGGTTGGCGAACTCCTCATACTACGCCTTGACCTCAGTGATGATGCTGTCCATGTCCAGGGAGCGGCTGCTGTCCATAGACAGCACCGCAGACATGTCCAAGATCTCAAACTGCAGCTCCTGTATCTCCTCTTCATACAGCTGCCTGAGGAGGCTGATCTCATCAGTCAGCCCCTCCAGGCAAGACTCCAGCTCTACCTTGTTCATGTAATCTACCTTGTTCATGTAAGCTTCATCCACATCCTTCTTGATGAGGACAAATTCATCCTCCATCTCTGTATGCTTATTGATCTCATTCTCATACTTGTTCTTGAAGTCCTCCACCAGCCCCTGCATGTTGCCAAGCTCCACCTCTAGCTTCAGCTTCTCCAGGTCCAGAGTCTCTAACTGCCACCTAAGGTTGTTGATGTAGCTCTCAAACATGTTGTCCATGTTGCTCTGAGGCATCTGCTGCTGCTACAGGAGGTTCCACTTGGTCTCCAGCATCTTGTTCTGAAGCTCCAGAAACCGTACCTTGTCTATGAAGGAAGCAAACTTATTGTTGAGGGTCTTGATCTGCTCCTTCTCCTGGGTGCACACGGCCTGGATGTTGGGGTCCACCTCCAGGTTAAAGGTGCTCAGCAGGCTCTGGTTGACCATGACGGCGGCGATGCTTCCCATGCCACTGGCCCAACATAGCCTCTGTCTAGGCTACCCTAGAAGCTGCTGCTGCCCACTCAGAAAAAGCTCGAGGAGATGTGGGCATCAGGCCCACTCGTGTAGGAGTGGCTGCTAAAGGTCTAGGGGCCAGAGGTGGACACCCTGTGGGACTTCTGGGTCACCCTGATGGACATGGTGGAGGTAGGTAGGCTGAATCAGCTGGAGATTCCAGAAGGAGCAAAGAAGCTGCTTCTTGGTTAAACTGGCTAATTCTTAATGACCTACTGTATCCGACATCCATGAGGGCTATATACATGCACAGTAAGTAATGAAGACCAGTATTCTTTTTATACTTTTATCAACATATATTGCATATAACATTCACCTAAACCAGTAATCTTTTTATATCCAACCAAAATAAATGTAACTCAGACTAACTTTAGAAAACAAGCAATTTAAAAACATGTTTGCATTCAAACTCATCTAACAACTATAATCTTAAGTTAAATTGCTTATGAGTTCACACATCTGGTATTCAAGAAATGTATTTGGCCCAAGGTACTGACTGTTTCTGTGAGCAGACTTAACTACTACACTCCTAAAGGAGTAAACCTGCTTGACATGTTTCATTCTTTCATACCCAGCTTTAATTTGAGCCCATGAGTAAAACTAATTTCTTTTCAATGACAGCTTTTGCCTAGAATCAAAACACCTTCACTAACTCCTTTTGTATATCTCTACAAAAGATTTAATATACTTTTTCAATGGACTATTTTACAAAGGTCCCATTTATCATATAGAAGAGTAACTTTGGCATATTTATCAAATCAGTACCTTCAAGATGCAAAAGATGCATTTTCCTCAATATTATATTTCATTAGCTCAGTCTCTCTGAAAATACTTCTAACCACAGGTTTAACAACACAAACATCAGTCTTAAAGAGTAAATTTAAAAACTGAATGACTGCTACATCTTTTCTATTTGATGCTTCCAAAATATAAGTAAAAAACAAGTCCAAAAGATTTCAGATTATAAAATATCTGGATCCACAAATAATTTATAAAATGCTCCCATGAACATAGAAAAAAAAATGTGTTACTATGAAGAAGAGAAAGAAAATGGCTCAGCAGTAAATAGTCAATTCCTCTTTGACCAGTTTGATATCTTTAAAGTTATTTT